TCTCAACCTACTGAAACACCGCTTCCACTGAGGCTCGAACTCTCAACCTTCTAAATGAAAGTCCAACCCGGATACCATTAGACCACATAGTCTTAGTCCATTTTAAATTATAAGTTGGAATAAATTGTTTAAAATGGATTTGGTTTAAGTTCCAGTAATACCATTAGTAATATGATGGACATATGAGAATCCAAGATAAAATCTAATTATTAGTTTGAATATAATTCTCATATGTCCATCGTATTACTAATGGTATTATATTATAATTTTATAACAAAATTTTTAACATGATACATACATATAAAAGTCAATTCGTTAACGTTGCTATTGTTTTAGTAGTCTACTTATTAACTGTCTCAAATTATTGTGTTGAAATTGATATTCTACTCTCATAAGTTATCTCCAATTCAATATTCAAATTCTGATGTAAAATTATCTAAAAGGTCAAAAATAAAAAGGAAAGACAATAAAATATTTATCCATTGGTGACTCATGAATTACTTGAGCTTATTATGAATTAATCATATAATCGTAATTATTTAAATGCCACCGTGCTTTTTAAGAAAATACTTAAAAGTGCGTTTGAAGAATGTTTTCAGACGCACAATCAGTTATATGTAAATGTACAATCAATTATATGTAAATGCACAAATCATGCATTACAAAAAGCATAATTGTAATTATAGAAACGCCCACTGCGTTTTTTAATTTCCTTAATTTTTTACCCTTGATCATTTTAGATGGAAGGATGAGATTTGTTTGCAATAATAACAGGACGAATGGTTCTCATGAGATCCTACGGTTTGGATTAAATAAGAACTTGCACACAGGAGAAAACTAGCTAAGAATCAATCTGAGTTATCAATTTGAAAAGATCTAATGGTTTTAAAGCGATGAGAAAAAGAAAAAAACATTGTGTCATTTTTCATAAATAACTCAAATTTTAATTGCAATTAGCAACACTATGAAGTGCAATTAACAATACTATAGAGTGCATCTTATGATATGTGAAAGTGTAGTGAAAGAATTCACCTTGTAGAGTTTATACTTTTTTTTTTTAATTTTTTTATTATATATATAAATATATAAAGTACATCTAACAATAATATGCACATAGGGTTCATCTTTTAAAACTTATGGTTTAGTGTTTTTTTTTTTTTTTTTTTTTTTTTTTTTTTTTAGTTTGGTTTAGCAGTTTACATTTTACTATTTAAAAGTTTAGTATTTATGGTTTACCTTTGGGTTAAGTTTTTAGATTTAGCAATATATACACTTTGTAGTTTTGCTCATTGCACTCTAGGGACGTCTCGTCTGCATTGCCGATGCCTGCTCCGAACACACTTCATCAGGCGCATCACTATGTTTCGGTTAAGTTGATTGTCACAATTTTTTATTTTGGAAAGCGCAACTGGTCTCCTTTTACAATGCCAAAACTTGTATGGTTTCATTGATGGTTCCCAGTTATGCCCACCAGATACGTTGTGTCGACCTCGTATGCACCTCCAGTTCCTAATCCAGCTCATGCTCAGTGAATTCAACAAGATCAATCCATCCTAAGCATGGTGGTTTCATCCCTGTCAGAGGAGGTAATTTACCTAGTGATTTGGGCATGACACTTCTCGTTCTATGTGGATAGTGTTTGGTTCCGTGTTGTGGGATAGGTCTCTCAGTCTGTTGATGTAACAACCAAAAAATTTCTCATCTAAATTAGACCCATTTTATAAAAACTAGTCAAAATATATTTCAAATATTTCTTTCTGACTAGTGACTTGTATAAATAAATTATTTATTCAAAATCCTTAGATGGAATAATTTGATACAAAATTCTATTTATATAATGAAGTTTCCAAAACTCAATTTGGAGAAAATATTCTTTTATCCAAAAGTCAATCTGAGAGTAACTGTGAACCCGAGAGCCAAGTTTTCTTTCAAAATAAACCTATCTTATTTCTATATTCCCTCTATCGTATTATAGCCCGAATTTAACTTAACTTTTGACCCAAAATTATAACCCAAATTCCAAAACCCCAAATTCCAAAACTACCCTTTATTTTGGCGTGAAGCAAGGCTGATGCATGACCATTGCTTTGTTCCTAGATATAAATGTTCACTATTCCATTGCTTTGCCTCCCAATCCCTCCACACTTCATCTTTCCTCCTGAGAAACTCAGACAACAAGAAGGCCAAGCACTATAAGAGCTCTTCATCTCCTCTCCCATTCTCTGAGATTCTCCATCATCTCCTCTTTTTCTCTTTAGCTAGAATAGTTTAGTATTGAATATTTTATGTGCATGTGAATGATATATTGTGTGTATTTCTTTGGTTGTTGGGTTTTGGGAGCATAGGAAGTGGAGAAGGAAGCCATCATTGAGGCTTAGTGAGGGATTCAAGCTTTTGAAGCATCAAGTTTGAGGTATAACCCATGAACATCCAAAATATAGTATTTTCCTATATGTGTCTAATAAATGCATGTTAAAATGTTGTTGTTGATGTATGAGCTTTAGAAATGATTTAATCTCGTGTTTGCTGTGTGGAATGTGTTGGAGGATGTTGTATTGTTGATGTTATTGCTTTGGTGCCGTGATTTGGGAGTTGTATCAGGTTGGAAGTGGGAATAATTGCCCAAGGATGGAACAGAGCAGAGAGACAAGGCCACTACCTCGTCTCCCCTCGGTGGCGTGCGGGCCTGGCCGCGGGTCCTGGGAAACCCACCGGCTGGCCTGCGTGTCTAGTGGCAGGGCTAGGGCGATAGGCCCTTTGCGGCCTGCCACCCTCGCCTAGGCTGCACGTGTAACACCCCGTGTTACAGTCTCCAAATTCGGGTTAAGCATGGGTTTAATTCTGTTAATATATAATTAAGAAGGATTTAATTGGACTAGAAATCTCATTAATTAATTAGTGTGGTCCACAATGGATCATGGACCCTTATCCTTAATTAAGTCTTTAATCCTGTTAGGAATAGAGAAAGTGGGCCTTAACTATTCAGATACTAGTTAGGACTCCTGAATCTATATATAGGGGATTAGAAAGCATTTAGAAATCCTGCCACGACTAATTCTACCACGCGAGACATTCCCCGAGGAAACCTAGCAAATGAATTCCCAACCACCGAACCTAGGAAGGTCAATTGAAGGAGGATCTTAGAGAAGAACCTTAGTAGCCAAGGATATTGATTAGGGCTAAGAGGTAACGCATGTCTTACAAAACCTATTTTCCTTGCTATTGTTTATTGATTGGCTCCGATTGAATGATTGGTTGTGTGATTTTGTATGTATATCTTGTTAGAGCTTGTCTTTAGGTTTATATGGTGAATTATTGCTATTCTTGATATTCTTGATGGCCCTGTGGGGTTATTGATATGATCTTGTATTTAATTAAGTCTAGAGCTTGTCCCTAGGGTTTATATTGTGAATCTCGTGTTGTGATGTTCTTGGTGTTCTTGGGTAGGTTTATGCATGCTCGGATGTTGATTTTAGTCTAGGACTTGTTTTTAGGGTTTTGCATATAGATTTCTTGATGATCTTGAGGTTCCGGATGCTCCTGAACCATTATGTGATGGATGTCAAGTCTTGGCATGTTTAGGAACTGTGTTAGAATGTAATTGGAATGATTCTTGGTTTAATCTTCGTTAATCGAATCCGTGATGTTGTTACGTGTTAGAATGTGTTTGGATATGGTTTTGGGTTCCACGAACGAACCCTGAACCAGAAATTCTACCTTCGTACCAGTGGGGGGTAGGTGGGGGGACGAATCCCTACCACCTACCCGCTGCCCCGCTCGCCCTTGTCCAGCGGGCAGAGGGCTGCCCGCCGGCCACCCGCTGGAAAGTGGGTGTGCGGCGGGATGTTTTCCCCCGTTTGACGTTTCCTCGTGTCCTGTTGTACCCCGTTTGATGTTTATTAGTCTCGTATGATGTTTTGACTACCGTTCTAGGAATTTGTGTGTAGTGTGTGTCGTTCTTTAATGTGCCTTGACTTGATTATTATTGTTGATTAAATGTTGATTGATTGAATGATGATGAGTGTTGTGATCATTGCGCAATGATTGATGTGACTGATGAGAATGAGATTGTGATTGGTGGAGATGAATTGTTGGAGGAAAGCACAACGAGTGCTCGGTTATCGTGCTAAAGTCACGGACCACCCTTTAGACTTGTTGGCTAAAGGCTTGGGTCAGGGTATAAGCACCGCGGTGTCATGTCAGAGCTATATGCGCTGACCCCTTGGTAGTGGTGCTAGAGGCACGGATCATGCGAATGACACTTCGGTGCTACCATGTTGGTGGACTTGTTGGTGGTTACGGAGTGGGGCATGTAGTTGCTCTGGAGGAATAAGGGAGGCGATATAAGGGTGGCATGGAGGTATAGGTTGGAACTTATATAAGGATGGGGAGGAGTAAATGTTGGAACTTGGTATAAGGTTGGAAGATGAATTGTGTGTTCTAATGATTATTTGCTAATTGATGATTATTGAATCCCATTGCTTGCCTTTAAGTGTTAATTATGTGCTTACCTGTCTATTATACCTTGCAAACATAGGACGCATGTTAGTGGCATTCGTGATGTCGATCCGTTGCTATATTCTGAGTCTTGATCCTGATTTGAAAGCTAGTGTTGCCTAAGACTATATATGTGTTATAGGACAGGATTGCGTCACAGGCCTACGAACAGGACTCGAGTGGCGAGCCGGAGGGCCGGGGGAGTTTGATGATCTACCTATGCTTATAGGTAAAAGGGAACTGGAGAGGACAATAGCTAGAAGGCACAAGGATGTAAAAACTGAAGCTTTTCTAGAGTGCTTCTTCTCCCAATCTTTCATTAAAATGAAAGCCAAATTATCATATATTTCCAAGATATCTTCTTCACATGCATGGTTGAACTTAAATACACAAATGAAAGGCTAAGCAGAACCTATCCTAGAAAATAGGAAAGAGAAACTAAAAGGAACGTTGCAGTAACGTTAACAATCAGAAAAAGTAGGAAATATATATTGAAAATATCCCTAAGCTGCCATCTGTTTCTTCCTTCTTTGGTAAGTCCTACCAACGAAAGTATCAATACCCCCTCTCTGCAAATCAAGCTTGTCCTCAAGCTTGTAGCTCGGAAATAATTCATGAAAATGGGCAACAGATTCCCAAGAAGAATCTTCCGGAGAAGCACCCTCCCATTGAACTAGAACTTCAAGCACCCCACGATTCAAGCGAGAGCGAATAATGTCCGCGGGCTGCAGCAATACTTTACCATCCTTCACCGGGGGAAGTACTGGAACATCCTGTGGGGGCTCCCCGACAAAGGCTTTGAGTAGGGATACATGAAAAACATCATGGATGTGAGAGTCCGGGGGAAGCTCCAGCTGATAGGCCACCTTACCAATCAACTTTTTAATACGAAATGGTCAGAAAAAATTAGGTGATAATTTATTGAACAACTGGCGATGAACAGATAATTGACGGTACGGGTGAAGCCGCAGCTAGACCCATTGGCCCACCTCGAAGTTGACCTCCCGATGGGTGCGATTGTAGGAGGCTCGCATACGAGCCTGCGCCATTTGTAGACGGTCACGAACTTCGGTCAGAACTGCATCCCGCTTCTGTAAGTGAACATCCACGGTGTCGGGTTTAGAAACGCCTGGTTCATTGGACAAAAGTTTAGGGGGTTCCCTACCGTATACCACATGAAACAGAGTCGTCCTGATGGACGTGTGATACGAAGTGTTGTAACAATACTCTGCCCATGGAAACCACTCAACCCATTGACGAGGTTTGTCACCCACGAAGCAACGCAAATACATCTCTATCGTCCGATTGGTTACCTCCGTCTGGCCATCGGATTGCGGGTGGTACGCGGTCGAGAAGGCCAACGTGGAACCATTGAGCCGGAATAATTCGTTCCAAAACGCGCAAGTAAAAGTATTGTCTCGATCACTCACCATGGTTTCCGGGACACCGTGCAACTTGACGATGTTGGCAAAGAAAATATTGGCGACCGTAATAGCCGTGAATGGATGCGAAATCGGGAGGAAATGAGCATATTTTGATAATCTGTCGACTACGACCAATAAGGCCGTTTTCCCCTGTACTTTCTGTAATCCCTCCACAAAGTCGAGCGAAATATCGCTCCAAACCAGAGAGGGAATCGGCAATGGCTGCAAAAGGCCTGCCGGACATAAGTTTTCCCACTTGCTGCGCTAGCACGTAGTACACAAGCGCACATACTCTCGGACAGAAGACTTCATCCCGCGCCAATAGAACTCGCGGGACACCCGGAACAAGGTCTTTTGGGCGCCCTTGTGCGTGGAATCATGAATCCGTGAAAGAATAAAAGGGATAAAGTTAGAGGTCGGAAGAAGATAAATGCGGTCCTTATACCTGAGAACGCCGTCACGGAAAGACCAGCGGGTATCAGTGGTGTCGACCTCCAACCGACTAATTATGGACCTGCCCTCCGGGGAATTGTGCAATTCACGAGAAATGGAGTCCAATAATGAAGACCGAGGACTGGATAATGCAAATAAAATGGGCGAGTCCTCGTCACGGAGGGATAATGCGTCGGCGACTGTTTTCAACCGGCCGGCGCGAAATTCGACCTCAAAGTCGTATCCCATCAACTTGCTAATCCAATGGTGTTGTGGAGATGTCGTGAGCTGTTGTTGCAAAAGAATCTTGCGGCTGTAATGGTCCGTGCGAATTAAAAACTTACGACCCCATAAGTAGTGCCGCCAATGACACACTGCCTGAGCGAGACCAATTAATTCTCGTTCGTAGGCAGCAAGTTGATGATGTCGATGAGCAAGCTTGCGGCTAAAAAATGCAATAGGGTGATTATTTTGGTGCAGAACCACTCCAATACCCACCCCCGGCGTGTCGCACTCGATAATAAATAAAGCATTAAAGTCCAGAAGTTGCAGCATTGGGGCTGATGTTACGGCGGATTTGAGCTTAGCAAAGGCGCCATCCGCTACCGTATTCCAATTAAACGAGTGAGACTTCAACAATGTTGTCAGGGGTGCTGCTAACAAGCCAAAATCCTTAATAAATTTTCTGTAAAAACCTGCTAAACCTAAAAATCCACGCAAAGCGCGGGTGGACTGTGGCGTAGGCCAATCCAGAACATCTTTAATTTTAGCTGAATCCATAGAAACTCCATTAGCATCAATAATATGACCTAAATAAGAAACCTCAGATTCGCCGAAAACACATTTAGACTTTTTTAGAAGTAAATCATTGCCGCGTAATAAAGTAAACACGGTTCGCGCATGGTGCAAATGTTCCGCCCACGTACGACTATAGATAAGGATATCATCAAAAAAAAAAACAAGAACAAATTTACGGAGTAAAGAACCAAAAACCTCGTTCTTTAATGCCTGGAATGTAGACGGCGCGTTGCATAAGCCGAACGGCATCACTAAGAACTCAAAGTGGCCGTGGTGCGTTCTAAATGCTGTTTCCTCGACGTCATCGGGGTGCATCCGAATTTGATGGTATCCGGAGCGCAGGTCAAGTTTGGTGAAGAAACGCGAGCCATGCAGCTCGTCTAGAAGTTCGTCGATGACCGGAATAGGAAACTTGTCTTTTACGGTTTTGGCGTTTAGTTCCCTGTAATTAACACAGAAACGCTAGGACTTGTCTTGTTTAAGAACTAGCAATACAGGTGAGGAGTAGGGGAACGACTCGGTCGGATAAGGCCAAGCGCAAGCATGGAACGACATTGCTTCTCAATTTCAACTTTTTGAGCCTGCGGGTAACGGTATGGGCGGACAGCCACCGGATCCACTCCATTAGCAAGGGTGATATGGTGATCGCAAGAACGAGCCGGTGGAAGAGACGTGGGTTCCTGAAATAAGTCAGAAAAATCCATGAGAACGTGTGCAAGAGCAGATGCGTTGGGAGAGCCGGTAGTGAGTGCCCGTAAGGCACGATGAGGCCGGACGCGTTTACCATGCCAAGTGATAGAACGTCCAAGCACGGTGAAAGTCATGGTGAGCGCAGTAAAATCCCATAGAATCGCGCCCAGGGTACGTAGCCAATTGACACCCAGTACTAACTCAAAACCTGCTAATGGGATCAAATATAAACGAATGGAAAAATTCTGGCCATCTTTAGTAATGTGGGCCTTTTCGCACATGCCGGAGCCCAGAATCAGTTCTCCGTTCGCTACGGCGACCTGGAGTCCCACACATTCCGCGATGCGCAGGCCAAGTCGTGTCGCGGTACGCTCATTCACGAAGCTATGGGTACTGCCCGAGTCGATCAAAGCAGTGACTGGAACATCCGCGAGAAACATTTGCACCTGCATAGTTTGGCCATTGTTAGTGCATGTAATCGCGTGTAAAGAAATTTCTGGGTTGTCAGTACCCAGGTCGGAAGTAAAGGTCGAATCCATATCCTCAATGGTATCATCTAAAACCAAAAAGAATAGCTGTTTGCAGCGATGTTCTGGAGACCATAGCTCGTCGCAATTGTAGCAAAGACCTCGAGAACATCTCTGAATATACTCAGCCCGTGAAAGTCGTCGTTCAGGAGGAGGGGTCATGCCAGCCGTCCCGTTTGGTCCCGGTTGTGTGCTGGCCGACGATGATGCGGCGCGACTGCCTGTCGAGCTAATAGCGATAGACGCTGGAGATGAAGCCGCGACGCTTGGTCGTGAATTGGCGATAAATGAGGATTGCACTGGTCTCGTCGATCCACCTGCAAAGGAAATGTGGGTAGTGTTAGAATGGCGGCGGGAAACTCCTGGCGTTTCGCGCGGAGCACACGCCTGACGCCGGCAGTTGGTTCTCGCCAAATTCATGGCGATATCAAGGTTCGCCGGTCGGTGATTCTCAACGTCGATGCGTAACCACTCGTCGAGGCCGGAAGTGTACAAATCCACTTCATGATCGCAGCGAACTGTAGTGGAGCGCATGAGCATCGACTGAAATTCATTGTTGTACTCTTCAACCGGCTTCCCGTCCTGATTGAGTTTGGCCAATGAACCAAGAACGTTGATGCGCAAACCGGGCCCGAAACGCATGAAACAGCGCTGCTTGAACTGCTGCCACGTCATGTCGGGCTCTTCGAGCTCCAGCCGAAAATGCCACATCTGAGCGACGCCCGTCAGGTGGAACGCGGTTGTGCTCACAAACTCTTGGGGCGGCGTGTTTTGGGCCTTGAAAAACTGTTCGCAATGATGCATCCAGCCAATAGGATCGTCTTTGCCATCATAGCGAGGAAATTCGAGACGAGTAAACTTGGGCATGGCGGTGGTGGCGAGAGTAGTCGTCATGGAAGCCTGGGTAGCCTCGGGGCCTGCGGGGAGGGCGGCGCTGCTGGAAGCGGTGGCAGGTGCTTTCCCGACTAGAAACTGGCGGAACGTTTGTCGAAGTTCATCTAGGTCTCGAACGATGAGAGTTGGTCAGCGCGCATGGTCTCGAGCGCTGCCTGGAGATTTTGGACATCCCTGCGGATCATCGTGAGTGAGTCAGCTGCCGAATGATTGCCCATGACGACGGGTTCTGATACCAAATTTGTTATAGGACAGGATCGCGTCACAGGCCTACGAGCAGGACTCGAGTGGCGAGCCGGAGGGCCGGGGGAGTTTGATGATCTACCTATGGTTATAGGTAAAAGGGAACTGGAGAGGACAATAGCTAGAAGGCACAAGGATGTAAAAACTGAAGCTTCTCTAGAGTGCTTCTTCTCCCAATCTTTCATTAAACTGAAAGCCAAATTATCATATATTTCCAAGATATCTTCTTCACATGCATGGCTGAACTTAAATACACAAATGAAAGGCTAAGCAGAACCTATCCTAGAAAATAGGAAAGAGAAACTAAAAGGAACGTTGCAGTAACATTAACAATCAGAAAAAGTAGGAAATGTATATTGAAAATATCCCTAAGCTTCCATCTGTTTCTTCCTTCTTTGATAAGTCCTACCAATGAAAGTATCAATATGTATTCCAATTTCAAAATGATTTCCTATATTTATATTTATGCTACTCATCGTGTGGGAGTGGGTTACTCAGCATTATTCGCTGACGGTTGCTATACCATATGTTTTACAGGTGCTGAGCATTAGCTATGGAGCACGCTAGACGGACACGTGAGCTTAGCATAGTTAGTCCTAGCTGTAGTAATTGGCCTACGTGCCGTGAATTGTGTTTGACTATTGACTTATGGATTTCACATGATTGGATAGTCTTAGCCTGTGCATCTAGGTTCTCAAACCAAGGTGTGGCATAACACCCCGACTCATACAGATTGTTTATGCTCTGTTTGGATTTTTATTATTAGTTTGCCTTTATTTTATAAGTCTTTAAATATTTTAATAATTGGGGGTGTTACAGCATGGTTGGCACAGCGAGTCTCACGAGACCCGCCATCCAGCCTGCGTGGCCAAGGGCCCTTGCGATTGTCGCAGGTCCAGCCACTTGTGTTTTGTGAGTTTTCCGTGACTCATGGAACTCGGGGGATTGTTCTAAAATGTTATGTGTTACGTGCTACATGAGTTTGTGGTAAACACCCCTTGGTTATGAGTCTTTGGATATGATCCACATTGTTTTTAACTGAACTTTATACTCCACATGCTTACCCTGTATTCCCTATTTTCTCAATTACATTTAAGCGTAGTATGCCACTCGTGTGCTATATTTTGTGTTGATGTGAGGAAAACCTTTTTATCTTGGAGGCGGTTCTTGGTCTTCGGTTACTTCTAAAGAATGATGAAATGTGGTGATGAGATGAGAACCAAAATGAGGATCCCTGGTAGTTTGTGTTAAAGTGGCCTAGTAGAAAAATTCTGGGCGCACTTTGGGGCTTGAGCTATTATTCGCTGGGTTTGGAATCCCAATTAGGGGGTGTATACACTAAAGGTAATTGTCCCATTTACATGTTACTTATAAGATTTGTAGGCGAGACGTTGTTAGGCCGGCCGATATTCGCCGAGCCCGGATAGATTCATTCACACATGGTGAAGTTCCTACCTCCCCACCATTATGATATGATGAGGTTGATGGTATGATGAGATTGTGATACAATGAGATTGATGAAATGATTATGATTCGTGGGAAGTATGATGGCCCCTCCATTATATATATATATATTACCGTTTTCTTTCTTGAGAGAGTGTATATTATTGATTTCATATCTTGCTAGTGTATAGTGCGTACATATATACTAGTTATTACACGCGTTTTGCGTGATTAGACCAATGGCCAATGTGCATTTATAAATTAGTGTTCCTTAATTGGTTAAAGTATTCATATAATAATGAGAGAGAATAATGCGAAATTAATAAAAGATAAATAATTAGTCTTGGTGCTTATATTATAATAAAAACATAAAGAAATTCGAAAATAGCTAAATTATAACTAAAGTAAGTGAAAACAAATAAACCACTAACTAAATCTGACTATCTATCATGAAAAGAGTAATTTGAGCATAGTAAATTAATTTTTCTTAGTGTGCGTTTGTTGAGGCTCGGAATTGTCTTCATCTTCTCCATCTTTAGTGAAGTTGAGTTTCCTTTTTGCTAGTTGTGTCTGTATTGCATCTTGTTTACTGGTGGTAGTGAATGAGAATGATTTGTGCAATGATGTTATGGTCTATGATACCATGTTTTTGCCTTGTTGTGTATAGGATTGGGACCTCAATTGTATTATATATTCTTGATCTTGTAAGCGGTTATTGATATGTTGAATTCATAGCTGTTGACCCTGCAAGATGCTTATGTAGTTAGTCATAGGTTAATTTAGTATAAAACATGAGTGGTTGTAGTTGGAAGAGGAGCAGTACCTGTTGTTCCAATTGCATAACTTATTTGTTGGTTAGGAGTAATAGTTGTTCAGCACATTTCCCAAACACGGATGCAACAAGCCATCCACTTCCATCAGTAATTTCCACGTCTAGTTTACACATATTATGTGTTTTTAGATTAGCATTGTTGTATTATGTGTCATAGAGATCCTTTCAAGGCATCAAACTGTAAATTGAGTGAAATATTAAAGTTTAGATACAATTGTAAATATAGTAGAAAGAATATCTCAAATGCTAAAATGTATCTTACTCAATAGCGACATCTAATTGCTTCAGGACAACAGATGGAGGAATAACACCAACATCCAAAAAGTTTGGATCTTCCAACAAGGAACCTGATTTGATGTCCTGAAAGATATTAACGGAATCAACTGTTTTTTTTTTTTCCAGCTAAAAGAGATTCATCATACCATACTATTAGTCCATCAACTTTTAATAATAAGACCTAGATTTGTACTATTTAAGAATCAAGATTCCTTATACATGAGAAATTTTTAAATGCACCTTAAGTGAATATTTATGGCATGCCTGTTTGACAAAACGAATGGTTATTGATTACAATGATTATGGTTTATAATTAACGATAGTCAATAATTCATAATCATCATAAAAAACAATCTAAATAAATTTCCTTTATATCTCTCAACTAAATTTCTCTTTCTCTCTACAACTAAACCCTAACATAAAAGACATAAAAAAGAATATGAAATGTGAAGGTAATCCTAGAACAGGTCAGAAGTCAGCTGGAAGCAAAATGATAGATGAAGAAAAAGGAAGCACTATGTATTAACACAAGAAAAGGGTGGCCGGAGTAGTTGAAGAAATTACAACTCTATATTATGATACATTTGTTATTACTGATAATGATAATACAAGGCTACACTATTTGCAGAGGAGAAGGTTGTTGAAGAAATTTCTTTGAGGAGAGGTATTTCACTTAGCGCAATGCATAACTTGTTATCCCAGGAAGAAAGACGATGACATCATTTTCTGATATGGATGTCAACCTATTTATCTTTATTTGAGCATTATGCGTGAGTTTTTCACATATCTTATCCTCTGTAATAGGGACAGGCAATATGTACAAAATAGAAATACAGTAAAAAAACACCATGATAGGAGTGCCTGCGATGGTAGAATACCATTTACTAACATTCAAACCTCCCAGAAAACTCCATTCAAATGCTAAAATTTACAATAGATAGCATAATTGTACATAATTGCATAGCAGATGCAAAGAGACCAAATCGGCTTGTGTTTCTCCTTTTGAATTTCGCTTTGGCTGTGATGTTCCTTTCGACAAAGCGTGCTTCTCCTTTTGAGACCAAGTCCGCTTGTGTTGCTGCCCTAATTTGTTTGCTGTGCTTTTCTTTTTGCTATGCTTCTCCTTACGTCAAGCAAACGGATGTGCTTCTCATAATTGACATTCAATTTGGCTTAAACTACAAATTTGCCACCCTGCCTTGAATCTGACAGAATCTGTTAAGTTTAACATTCTAGGTTTGCTAATCTGAGAAGAATGAGGTTATATTAGGTTTTTAATTTGACATTGTACAATTAAAAGAGCACAAAGTACAATCTTTTATAGCATATTGTTGTACCGACATTTTTTTAGTTCTCGTTAAGGGTCTAACAATATTGGCTCTTATTAAAGTTGTAGATACTTGAATATGAATTGCATAAGTGTTTGTAGATGAATTACACTCGCTCGTATGCTTTATACTTGTGGATACGTTTTGTTATCGTATACGGGTATCTATATACTTGTGAATCTATTTGACTTATATCTATGACTTGGTTGACCTAAAGTGTAATATGTGTAAATATATCTATTTTCCAAATCTATATCTATATGTATTTTATAGGGTAGAGTGGTTTATACTTAGCATTCGTGCTAACGGGTTATTTTCGTGCACTTTTTTATTTAACCCCTTTCAGGTTTGACCAGTAATTGCTGAGCACGTTTAGGTGTAGCTAGACATAGTATAGAGTTTTGATTCTAGTTCCTAGTTTTTTTTTTTTTTTTTGTCAAACCCCTTAAACGTATCTTGATGCTAGACTTGTGTAGTACAGACTACCCATTTATGTTTTGTAGTGCTATGACACTTAGGCTGAGACCCTTATGTTCTATCTTGCTATATCTTATTTATTGGCTCCTTTAATAATTGTATGGATGGTTCTGTGATTGAGTCTTGATAGAGCCTTGCCTAGGATTTATATTGTGTTTATTTGATAATCTTGATGATCTTGATGTTGTGATTGATTATATGTGTGATGTTGTATTTTAATTATGTCTAGAGCTTGTCTCTAGGGTTTAAATTGTGAATCTCGTTGTTGTGATGTTCTTGGTATATTTGGGTGGGATTATGCATGATCCGGCTGTTAACTCTAGCCTAGGACTTGTCTTTAGGGCTTTGCATATAGATTTCTTGATGTTCTTGAGGTTCTGGATGCTCCTGAACCGTTATGT